ATGCAAGATGTTACAGATGAACAGTGGTGTCAAAGGTACACACATTTGTTACTTAAGTAGAAGTATAGATACTGCATTTTGAAAACACTCTGGTAAAAGTTGAAGTATCAACTTGACCTCTTTACTCAAGTAAAATTAAAAAAGTATGTGCTCCAAAAATTACTTAAAGTATCAAAGTATAAAGTAACCTTTAAAAAACAGACAGATGTCACTATATTGAAAGCTCAATTTTTCGACTATTTCAAAACTTCAAGATAGGACCAAGGATGAGGGAGGTCTTGTTGGTCTCCATCTCCCGATACGCTCTTGCCTGTGTCCGACCTTTCAGACATTTCAACATCTTTTTCTGAATCCAACCTCGTAGCATGCCATAGACAATTCATGTTTGCAGTTTGAAGAACACCTGCTTGCTTCTGATGATTTCCTTTAGCTAACCAATGAGTGTTTGCGTTATATGACTCATCCAATTACACTAGTTTTCACTAGATGTGGATGGAGCCAATGGTCTGCATTGGATGGTTCACATGACGGGAAATAAATATTTATAAACATTAAACCGAAGCCAAGAGTAACGAGTAATGTTTGTTTTAAAAATGCAAGAAATAGAAAGTACAGATACTTGAAAACGTAATGAGTAGAAGTCAGAAGTAGGAAGAAAAATAAGTAATGGAGTAAAGTATAGATACCTAAAAAGTGTACTTAAGTACAGAAACTAAGTATTTGTACTTTCTTACTTGACACCTCCACAGATGAAGCTCTTAATTTAAGATAACTGCTTAGTAAATGTCTCTTTTTAAATTTTGAACTTGGGTATCATAAAGTAGGATTTAGGGTTGAATTTGGAAAAAAAATCCTTATATGTTTATCAACCATTTAAAATATTCTTTTTTAATTTTGTCTGTTGCAAACACATTTTGAAATTTTACATATATACCTTGCAGAGTTTCTGTTAGACAAAAAACTCTGGACTTTTCCCTGGGCAAAACAGCCAATAGATCTGCTAAAATATTGGCCTAAATTTGTTTTTTTTTTTACTCTGTGATTAAGTCTCTACTTCCTTTTGAGTGGTCAGGATGATTAAAAAGTGTTATGTTGAAGTCCTAAAAATAAAGGGTTCTAATTATTTATAACTGTTGGTTTTTAGAACAAACAAAGCATATCTGCCTAGCAGTCCCATCCAGGATGGCTGTAGCCACAAGTGGCGCCGCACACATCATGACACTGAAATCTGGTAGGGCTAAAGAGATCATGTATAAATGGAGAAAACAGGAAGCCACCTGTGTTATCTAATCCCCTCTGTGATGGCTGCACCTGAAAGCGCTTTACCTCCTAGCATTGTAATGAAAGTATGCAGCTTCTGGTGCTAGAGGGGAAGGAGGGGTGAGATCGCCACATGTATTGTATTTAGCTGGCCCGGCTTTAATGTTAGCGAGCGTGCCACAGCGCCTCTTTATCTCCTCCTGTGCTGTTGCTATTTATCCTGCTGCCATTGCTGACAATAGCACCATTAGTCATCAGCTGCAGAGGGAGGGGAGGTGTTTGGCAGCACCCATTACACACAGTCAACAGCTTAACGCTGTTTCTCCTTAATGCATACAGACACATGCAGAGATGAAAGCCAAACCAAAGGTGACAAATAAGAGGAAAACATGCCTCGGTTGGAACCGCATGGAGACAGTTTAGGACGTTCAGTCACCTTTTCACCTGAATAACGAGGGACAGTTTATGGTTTGATATACAATTTATTTCATTTGATAAAGCCATACACTTAGTGTGAGACCAAACATTCTAGAAGAAATGTACATGTTACCTCTGGTCCTCAATAGGGATGCCTTTATACGAAACAAATCAAAGTTACTGTCTTAAAATGAAAGCAATCGTTCATTGAATCCATCTCTCCTCTGCAAACAGTGAAAAGATACAGCAGAGGCAAAACTGCTCTTGGCCTTGGAAAACAAAACAAAAAAAGATAAGAAGCAGAAAGTCAGTTTTATTGTTTAGGCAACATCTTCTCATACATTTCTTATTATTGAAGGGATTTTCTAGCTTATCAACAGCCTTTAGGTCCCTTCAGAGTGAAATATTGTCAATTAAGCGCCCACACTGCGCTCTTGTCTGCTTCTACAAACGCTCTGAGCTTTGCACAGAAATCCATGCAAAGAGATTATCGCAGAGATTGTCTCTCAGATGGTTACCTTGCAACCCTTCCACATACAGTAGCTTTAGAAACACTGCAAGTACTAAGATACGTGAGGGGAAAGCCCCCCCTCTGAGCAGCTATGAAGAAAATGTCATTCATCTGTCTGTACAGCACTTTTGGAGAGCAGGAAAACAACAAGGATGGCTTTAAAAATGTCAAACTGACAAGACTTCATAAGCCAGATTGATAAAAGGAATAAAAACAAACACTACTGAATTATTTTTAAAGAAAAATAATAATAATAAACTCGTACATGACAAAGTACTAACACGTTGTGTTTGAGTATTTTGGTTTAAAAAGGATTTTTTTAAGAAACTGACTAAACATGCATTTACTTTGTTTCATAATATACAGCATATGTACAGAGTGGATTGGAGGCTTGTAGTAGACAAGGTTGAGGCTTTTTTTTGTTTTTGATTTTTAATAATCAATGAGCACTGGGTGATAGAAAGAGGGAACCAAGCTGCAAGCGGAGTAGTTTAACCCAAAAATTAGATTGCAAAACATCGGATTTTGCTTAAAACTTTCCTATATTTTGTCATGTCACAGCAACTTAAGGTCTACTGGAATTATATGCAAAGCCGACACAAATTAATGCAAGATTTCTGAAAAGAATAAAAATATGTAGGAATTAAAATTATTTAAAACCTGAAATGTCAAAATGTTAAAGGCATTATTTAGCCCCTTCTTAGATATTCCTTAATTAAAAAATCCAACTAAGCGCCTTTTGGAGACCCAGATTAGTGAATCAGTCTGAATCTAATTTAATCTAATGAATGCAGGTAGTGGCAGCATCATGCTGTGGGGAGGAAATTAATGCTTTATCTTTTTAAGAAAGATTGCAAATATATGAATCTCATGATGTGCAAAGCTGTTAAAGAAAATTGTGCTTCCAACTACAGACTCAGTGGTGCAGAACGGTAAATGGACACTGTTGCAGATTTCTATAAACCTGGCTAATAACTGAGTAATGCTGTATTTGATCTAAGAAAAGCAGAGGATTCAGAGGCAAATCTGAGTTGTGTTCTCTTTGCAGCTATTAACACCAAGAGCTAAACTTGCTGATTGTTTTTGGTGCTAACTAGTATGAGCAATAAAAAGACGATTCCAACTTTTTCCCTCCATTTTACAAGAGATTTTCAAGGAAATGTTCACAATTAGATCCTATATAGCACTGTGTGTGATTGATTTGATAAGATTTAAGCAGCTAAATAGCTAACACTGGAAATTTCTTTACAGTCCCTGCATGTAACCATGTTCTCAAGCATTCGCTCAATCTGAAGACCTCAAATTGGTACTGACACTTAAACCTTGGTGAAAGTGCTCCTGCAGTCACCATAATAGCAGCTTTCCGAATAGTGCTGCCTGTTAGAAAGAAGCCAGGAGATCCTGATGTTCCTAGCCACCGCCTAGAAGCTGTGCAGTTGCCAACAAACCTTTGGCATTATGGTAAGACCCATAAAAACATTATTTTTTTTACATGTACTCTGTGTGACACATGTATGTCCTCACCTTCATATTTTTGGGGTTTTGTAATGGATAGCTTCAGTCATTCCCAAAAAATGTTGTTAGATTTGTCTTTGTAGTGCTTATATTACATATCATATTATATATTTTTTGTAGTTTGGTTATGGTGCCAATTTGACCGGCCCCTTTCATGTGCGTGTCCATCATATAATGTTGGCTCTAATGCTGCGTTCACACCTAAAGCAGCAGAGGCAGCTAGTTTACATGCATGCAAAAGGTCCCGCAGCGCTTTGAAGCAGCAGGAGCAGCGCGTCTGAGCAGCTGAAGCAGTGCGTCGTGAGCTTCTGAGCATCTGACGCGCGCGATGCGCTTCAGAAGCAGCAGCTGCTTGAGTTGGAAAAGTTAAACTTTTGCTGCTCGACGCTCCATATCAACCAATCAGGAGAGCTGATTTGGAGCTGGCAGGGAGACGGACACAGTGCTGCAGATGCAGATTGCTGTGATCACTCACCTGAAAACTGTTTATTAACGCTTAAATTAACTTAAAATGTAGAACCCTGCGGGTAAAATATGTTTGATTTTATTATTCTGGTGCCTGCAATTTAGATTACGTACGTGAAAAACGCCTTCTAACCGTTGTGAACACTAGCAAAGAGGCAAGCGGGCCAGAGGCTGCTGTTGAACTGGGTTCCTAGTGACAGAGCTCCACCGGTATGTGGGTCTGAGCGGCTCCAGCAGAAACAATATTTGAAGGCAGGATTGTAATCTTGATTAACTAACTGCACAGATAAAGTTTTCAGGTGGACTTTCTCACTTAAAAACATTAAAATTACTTTTTACCCACTGATTACAGCAAATATAGCTGCCATCGTAACAAGGAAAAGAAAGTATAGGGTAGCTACGCCCAACGCGCATCAGACCCACTTTCCACTGCGAAGCTGAAGCAGCAAAGATGCTTTAGCCGCACATTAGAACTAAACTTGTACAAGCATCAAAAATGAAGCAGCATGTGTTTTTGCTGCTCTTGCTGCATGCAGTCTGAAAGTAGCATAAGGCTGAGGGCTGTCTGGATTCAGCACAGCAGTCTGGGGCTCCTGCCCAGGACAGCTTTATTATTATTGACCTGATGAAAGGTGAAGGGGTAGGAGCTACAAATTGAAGTATTGGGATCGAGCCACAGTTTCTTGCCAATTCCTGACCAGTCAGTCAGAATTTGGATTTAAGAAGAGCTTTGTTGTTTTCTGACTAGAAACTTAGAAAATCGGACATTCAACTGCAATGAAAACGGACTATAGAGTAAATATAGACTTAAATTGCGTTTATAGCTGGTCCATCAGAAGGGGAAACCTTGTGTCACAAGTAAAGCCCACAGATTGCATGTGGTTTAACTGTAGAAACAATCAAAGCTCCATTGGTAGTAATCCTTCTGGTAATGACGCACTGCACTGAATCTAAATCATTAATTTTGAACTGGTAGTAGCTTTATTTATCCAGCAGGAATCTCTTTGCCTCTTTCCGTGACAACACACTTATCGTTTAGGTTTCCCAATGTTAAACAAAATTAAAACTATAACCACTTCTCTGTGCTAGTCTGGTTAAAAATCCCAAACAAAAGTTTGTGTTTAAGATGTAAATATATATAGATATCAACAGGTATAATTACTTTTTGGAGGTCAATAATCTTAGCCGCCATATTCCATCTTGTGTTTAATAAGTGTCTGTTTTGATCCCTTTCTAACTAGTTACCCCAGCAAGGAGTAGTTTAATTAAATAAACTGCGATTGGACATGTAGAGATGAAGAAAAGTCCTTTTTCCTAACTCTAAAGAGCAGCTGGCTTGTGATGTCCTTTGTTTTTATTGAAATCCCCCAGTTTCTCTGAGTTATTCACTCAGAGCAAAATAAAAAGACAGAATCTGCCCTTGATCAGACAGGCGGCTGTTTGGGGACCTTGATGAATTCCTGCTGAAGAAAGCACATTTTTCTCCGCTGGGAACAAACACTAGGGAAAAATAACTTGTCCATATTTGGGTGTATACAGCTTTTACATCATGTTAATATCCATGAACAGACACAGTAAAACAAAGGCGCAAGAGCTGAAGGTATAAAGCCAGACTAGAAAGGAATGGACAGTTTTTGGTTGATTCTGTAAATACCTGTACTTCAGCTGTTTCTATAGAAATGCAACAAAACCCAGTAAAATCCTCCTCTATCCTGCTTGTTTCTGCGTATGGAGTGACAGTAAGGCAGTGGAGGGTGTATGAACATGAAGAACTCTCATTTACAGTATCTGGAGTACAAGCAACATATTTACTAGTAGATATGCAGACTAAAGTCTTTTAATATCATATTTTTTAATAGTTTATCTATTTGTGGATGCTTAGATCAGAAACAGGAAATCTGCCTAGATCTACACACCAGCCCTCACCCACCCCTCATTGAATGTTAAGAAGCCAGGCTTAACAGGCAGTTAACAGACGGACCAGTCCAAGCCAGACTACTACACAGCATAAAAATTACCACTCTCCCTTCACAGTTCACGCTCCTGTGCTCTTTTTAAGACATTTTTTACATTTCTATGGATTCTGGATTCCTCTGCAGGCCTGTACTGTGTGAGAGGGGTAGATTTTATGCTGTGATTAGACATTTTTTATACCGTTTTTTTATATCTTTTAATTTAGGTGCAGCAACCTTTTAGAGTGCACAGCTTGGCTCATTGGAGCAGTCACTGTGGCTGTGGTTACTGTCCACGTCCCTCTTCCTCAGCTCCCTGCCTGCCTTGTGCTGCTGACCGCCGCCCCCGCCGTGGCTGTGCCCGGGGTGTGCGGCAGACTGAGGCCGCTTGCCGTGCTCCTGGTGGTGCCCGTGGTTCTGGTGATGGCTGTGCTCCCTGGCGCCGCCATGCAACTCCCTGTCAACAACCAACGCTCCCCTCTTGGTGTCGTCCATGGCCTCAAAGTTGCCGTTGTGTTCGGAGTTGACGACGTCGCTCTCTGGCACCACCTGCAGGTAGGCTCTGACTCGGTGGTGACGGGCGCCACCTTCGTCACTGAAGTCGATCACGCGGCATTCGTAGGTCCCTTCATCGGATGTTTTGACCCTGGAGAGGCGGAGTTTGTGGGAGATGTTGCTGCCAACGACCTTCACAACCTGGACAGTTTCAAAGAATAGAAAAAGACTTAACTAAATTATAAAGCATGATTTCATCTATAAAATTCCACCTTTTTTCTTTAGTTGCAATTCTTTAATCTGCTCTTTTAAACAGCAAAACCCGGACTAAATTATTGTACTCTAATATAAGAATCTTTAAAACAGATGTTGGGATTCGTGAATGTTTTATCAAACTTTACAAAATTTAATGAAGAACCAAAAGGGTTTTTGTTTGCCTATACTTTAACCTAACAGAGCTGCAAAGTCTCCTGTTTTGGCCATGAAACTACCGTATTATAGACTTCTTTCCCACCTTTCTCCCAGTTAGCAGTCTGCCGTAAATTTCTCTCATTGTAGAAATATATTAAAAAAAACATTCTTCTGCCTCCTAAAACCAAACTGCCTCTGGCACACGAGTCAAAATCAGATTACCAAATTATTGTACAAATAGTTGACCATTGGTTATTTTTTAGATTTCTTGTGCATTTATCTTAAAATGTAATAGCTCCTGGAGCTCTTGGATAGCCAGGCAGCAGATTTCACAAAATTTCCCTAATTTTCAGATCCAAAACTTGATAAGTGTGTAACCTAGTCCATGTTAGAGGTTTCTAAGTACTATAGCTTTTGAGCAGGACCATCTCAAATATGGTCCAAACATTTTTGGCCGTTTATGAGCTTTCACAAATCAGATAAACTTTTTTTTTTTTTTTTTTATCCATCTGTCTTTTGAAATATACTAATATTAGTGTAGAATAATCTAGTCCAGGTTTGAGCTGTCTAAGTATTATAGTTTTCTAGCAGAAACAGCTCTAAGATGCTCTAAATGCATAGAAAACCCATGAAATCGCCCTTCTCACCAACATTTCACCAATTTTAAAGTGCGTTTAAAAAATTCTGATGTTAGTGTAGAATAATCTAGTCCAGGTTTGAACTTTTTTCAGCGCTATAATTTTTGCAAAAGCCGTTGTAAGGTGCAAAAGCCGAATAAATGTCCCTTTAGCCATTTTCCGAATTGGAAGTTGAAATCGGAGTCCGACTTTCGCATCATGTGTGTTCAGCCCTCTGATTCTTTACTCTTTAGAACCACCTGAACTTTCAGAGCTGGATGATATAAATCTGTAGTCACCAGGTTTAAAATCTCACTTAAGATGCAACTGAGTTAAGGTAAGAAATCTTTTGCAAGTTTCCCCTTTGGGATTATTTTATTATCCAGCTCCATTTATTTATTTATTTATTCATCTTTTTCGGGAATTAGACGGCAACTCAGGATGCAGGGGTGCTATAATTAGTGGTTTGCCATTTTGAGCCCCTGCTCTGGGCTCTGGCCTTTAGGTAAGATACTCCACCCACCTATCCTGCTGTTTCAGTATAAACATTTGTGCTTTAAAAACACACAAATTTTAACTTAGATGTTTTATTGTTAAACTGTTTAATATTTAAAATAGTTTACACATATTTTTATAGAATAGCTCTTTTTAAGGAACACATTTAGAATAAAATACACATGGATGGACTCTGAAAGAAGCAACATTTGGGACAATTGGTAGCACTACATTTATTTAGGTGTTCACCTAGCACAGGGTGATACATTCAAAACAAACTAAAAATATAAAAACTGCTGCCTTAATCTGGACAAATATCTTTACATTATTGATTTGTTTTCTCCCAGATGCTATCCTATCATACCACAACTTATTTCCTTTATTACAAAGAAACTAACTTCATAGAATATTTTTATATAACAGAAGATAAAGATGAAAGAAGCTAAAAGAAGAAGAAAAACTGCTGGGTTTGCTGTGGAAATCATCCCCGTGAAGCAAAAGCACTCAACAGCTTCACTTCTCTCCAAGTTCATCACTCCCACTCCCACAGAGCGAGGAAATGATGCTGCTGAACTAAAATTACTTAAAACTGTGAAAGTATGGAGAAACTACTTTAAGGAGGTGAAAGTTTGGGGAGTTCACAAAGCGACCCTCTGGAGAAGATGAGACTGAGGCCATCATGAGATCAGACCCACCAGGGTATAAGAACAACTTCCATTTATCAGAAGCCGTTGCTCATATGACGCCTGTAGGGGTGTGTGAGTCTGCCCTGCATGTATGCAGCTTAATGCTGACTATTTTGGAGAATATGTCTTAACATCTAAGGCTCTGATACATTTTATGTTTGAGTCAGAGTATACAAGCCAGCTTCTTTTATACATCAAGCGAGAACTCATAATGATTTTAAAGCAGCACAGCCTGCAGTGTTTGACTCCGCCTACACAACACAGCCATAAATGCACTCAGTCGCACAAGCTGTGGCTGATGTTTTCATTACTGCGACTCAGCAGCGGTTACACTTACAGGAGATGCATTCCTCTGAAAAATGGGAATAAAAAAAGGAGCTTTGATTTGGAATGAATAATTCTAAAAATTAGCATTTTCTTTATGAAATAAAAAAAAATTATGAATAATATTAAAATGCAATGTGCATTAGTTCATTCAGTACGATGGAGTATTAGGGCCAGGCTAGAGATTTTGTAATTTTCTATTTTGAGAAAAAAGTTGAGAATGAAGTCATCATACATCAACCTGTTTCAGAAAGAAAGCTTCGAGCTCCAATCAGCTCCACCAAACATTCTGCCCAATTTGACGCTCGTGTGCTAAAAGATTTCTTTATTTGTCAAACCAGAGCCAAAGTATAACTGCACATGATGCTTGACGTTCCTCATTTTAGGGAAGAAAGTGTTCCTTTTAAGAGTTGTCATAAAATATAACTTTATTCTCATAATTTTACGACTTTATACTCGTAATTTTTTTACTTTATTCTCATAATGTTATGACTTTAATCTCGTAATATTATGACTTTATTCTTGTAATGATATGACTTTATGGTCGTAATGTTATGGCTATTCTCGTTGTGACTTTATGCTCATAATTTTATGACTTTATACTCTTAATGTTACGACTTTATTCTCGAAATAGAACAAAAAAAATTTCTAACCTGGCCCTAATACTCTTTCGTAATTCAGCTACTTTCTACTCCAGGTAAAGTTAAACTCTTGCCAGGTTTTATTTATGTACAGAGGCTCTTTGGATAAAGAAGATCCTCCAAATCTTTTCCCTCCTCTATTGCCTCTCTTTGTCAGTGTTTGTCATTGGGTGTTTCATTGTACCCATAAAGATAAGAAGGGCTTTTGTTTTTTTCTTTTTTTCTGGAGAGGATGCAAGCCTCACCCGCTTGAGGAGGACAGTTAACCACCTACATGCAGCAGCAATGCCAGCTCTCCGGCTGTTACAGTACTACAAAGCCATCAAGGATGAGACGAGTGTTAATGTGGATCGTCCAAAGCAAAAACTGTTAGAACGGTTTCCTGCTGCATCTCCTTTTAACCCATATAGATATCTCATGTAATACGAAAACGAAAATAACGACCTTCCAGGTATAAACCATCAAATGGAGCGCTAACTCACACTTATCTTTGTAGCATCCTTTGGCGTTTCCTCCTCAGGAGCCACCTTTAAAAAATAGCAAACACAGAAGCAAGTAAGTAATCATTTAGACCAAATACTTACATTTTACAGTTTAACTGTGATTACAAAACATATTTCAATATCAGAAACTGGAAGAGAAGACTAATAGTTCTCTATAACTCACATGGATGACCTGAGAGATGCAGGAATCACAATTCTGTGATTGATTTATAGTTTTTGTAAATCTTTAATGATTTTTTTTTTTTGCACACTCAGGACATTAATCTGGGCTAGAATAACCTTTTTTCTAGCAGATTGTTCTAGACAGGGACCGACAGGGGCCCGTACCACAGCAGATCAGGTCCTTTTGTTATGGCCCCTGTGCTGTAAAATAAACGTTGAAAAAATTCAAATATAAGTCAATTGAAATGACTATATTATGCCCTTGATTTGAGGAGGTGAGTTAGACAATTTGCCAATTTTAAATGATTAAGTGTTAAATAATAAACAAAAACTCTTATTAACTTATTCCATATAAGTTAATTAAGTTCTAACAACTAATTATTTTATTTTTAACAGTACAAATACTCGTTTTTTTGTTTTTTCATTTGGTTTACCTGGTCCACTTTTTTGTTTTGTTCTATTGTTTGATGTAACAAATGTCTCATCATCGGGATTTTGTCCGTGATGTGTGGAGCTGTTATTTGTTATTCTTTTTTTTACTGTTTGTTGTTTTAGCTGTGTGTCGGTTATGTTTGGTTTTTTTTAAGTTTTTTTTCTGTTACTGTGTCTCTTTGTTTGTCTGGGGTTTGTGGTCCGTTTCTTCTAGATGTTTCGTGATTTTCCATCTGTTAGTCTTTTGGTTTTATTGTTGTTTTGCTGCTTCTGTTTAGGTACGTGTTTTTTGTTGTTGCTTACCTCTCTGGGCAGTCATATCATGGGGAACCTCAGTAAACATGGCTAAAAAGACAAAAATAAACACAAATGTTTTATGAATAGCAATAGCTTTTAGTTTTTTTAGGGAGTTTGTTATTGTTGGCTTTTATTTAAATTTGAAAATTAAAAGGTTTGGTAGATTTGCTTCCACAACCATTGAACTGAATCAGTTAAACTAAGACAAAATGACTTTTGTATTTAATCAGTACATCTTGCACCCGGTTTAATCAGGTTATTGTTGTTCCAGGAAAAGCTGCTTCTTTTTATTTCACAAAAAAACAATAAGTCGTTAATACAATCCAAATAAATCTGACTCTACTTTAAAAGTGGAAGACTTTATGCTGCAATAGGTACGTTTAGAAATGTATTACGTTTTACATTATAAACATGACACTAACAGCTCTGGTCATCTCCAGTTATAACATCTAAATATGGTAAAACATCTCGGCTTTGTTGAAGAGATTGTGGAAAGGTGGGGGATTTTACTCACATATTTTGGGATTGCCCGAGGGTGGCTGAGTTTTGGAAAAATGTGCAAACAGAGATAAAGGGTATTTTAGGCGTTTACTTAGATCTGGAGGTATCTGTATATATTTTAGGAATAATCCCCTTTGACATGATTGATAAAGACATTAAATATTTGATCATAGTTCTGCTTCTGACTCCGAAGAAGTGCATAATACATGCCTGGTTAAAACCACAACCTCCCAGCATTACACAGTGGTGAGAATTAGAAAAGTCTATATTATGGAAAAAAATACAACATCAAGACTACAACTCAAGATGGAGGCCTTTGAAACAAAGTGGAGACCTATAACTAAATTTATGATGTAACCTGATACCTCTATTTATTTAGTTATTTACCTATTTATTTATTTATTTATTTGCTTTTGTGCCTTTTGAATTTATCTTGTATTAGTATTACAGTGTACTTTTATTACTTTAATCTGTATGTTAATTATGTCTACTGATGTCCCTTTTATTGCAAGTATTGTGATTTATATATCGATGGAAGGGGTTAATGAATATAGGTTCATCTTGATGGGACCAATGTTGGATTAAAGGGAATCTCTGTTTTACTGAACCCCCCATCAATAATCCCTGAATAACTTGTGGCAGAGCTGGGGCTTAACAGACTGGTTTCTTGATGTAGGTGAAATGTCTAGAGTGATCTGCGTAAAAAGACATCTAAATGCGAAATGTGAGACATGACAAGAGTGGACCTGTGTATACGTAGATGTAAAAGAGATATAAAGTTTATTAAAAAAAAACATGACAGTAAGTCCATCAATTCATTTAGTGTATATAATGATATTTCATAAGCAATATAACACAATTCTTACACTTACCAAATACTTTAATCTAAATATTTGTATCTGTTTTTATCTCATAGCATCATAAAACAACACAGTGAAATGTTAAAATTTGAGAATTAATTCTATTTCAAAGAGCATCACCAGGATTTTCAGGTTTTCAAAGTAAATGGAAAAATACAAAAAAAAAAAAAAAAAAAGAAAAGGTTGATGCATATGATACAAATATGCATATCAGTATTTTAATTAATCTCCTTGGTGTAATATATTCTAGTCTTTTCTTCACTTGAGACTAGAAAGTCATTATTTATATCCAGCCATTAAGCCTGAACCCTATTTAGAGTACAGTTTTTTAATTGGTACCTATTAGTGTGTAAGAGTGCACTAACTATCGGGGCCAATTCTGCAAAACATAATAAACCTCATTTAAAAAAAAAAACATTAATTATGATTAACCAGACCATATACTAATAAGACTTCTATATAACTTACTGGTGCATTTATGATTATTTGTTAAAAGAATGATTATAAATAACAAAAAACAATTACTTAATAGTTGCAGACTGTGTAAGAGGCTGAATCACACTAAACTCATGAGACTCTCATCATCAATACAGTTATGGGGCCCTTAATGCACCAACATTGTTCTGAACATTAATGTTTTGAAATATTTTGCAGATAAAAAAGCTGAGAAGTTAAGCAAACCAGACAAAAATAGGGAGAAAAAAAATAATAATATAAAAATACATGGATATAAGTAAGTTAATTTTATCATTTACCTTTACTGTAAATTAGTTTGGTATAAATGTGAATATAAAGCCCCTAGGAGAGATATGTTAACTACAATATGTCACAAAAATATTAGAAAGTAAAATGGAAAATGATTTGAGTGAAGGTTGGCAGGCTACCCTTTCAGACTTGAAAGGTTTCGCACAGTGGAGAAAGGGCAGGCTGCAATCAGCGCTGAGTCCAGCATCAAATGTCAGCTCACTCAAAGTGGTTGAGGCTCACTCCACATCTGATGGCAGCGAGGTAACCATAGCACTCTGCTCCAAAATGTTAATTGTTCTTCTACTCTAAGCTCTAAGAACTTGTGTGAAGCAAGTTTTATAATAAAAGGTTATCTACTGTCCTATACGGATGCTTTAAAAGGAACAAAAGGTAGAAGCATCTTTTGAAGCCCAAAGGCCAACTTCTTTATTTCATATAATGATGTTCTGTGTGGTCCAAACTAGGCTTCATTTAACATTTACGTTAAACTGCCTTTGACTCTGCAGAACCAGCCTCAACATGGCGGTCTACTGCCAAACCGGTTGAGATGAGACACGGAAGGCAGTAAGAGACCAGGAGTAATGACAATCTGATTACGTTTTAGCTACGAAGGGGGAGGAGGGGCTGGAGGTGGGTTGAAATGGGGTCATCTGAATGAAAGTCACACAGCGCAACCACCACCTGCACACTAGGAGCAGACAAGTGCCGATCGGAGGCCTTTTAAGATGAACTTTGGATGCCGATTGGCTTTCGTGGAGGCGTGGTTCAAAGCTGATTGGGTGGAGTCGCAGGTGGATGTAGGAAAGCGATGAGTTTCTTCAGTTGAACTTCCGCCTAGGCTCCATTTAGTGTATGTTTTTATGATACTTTGTCCCACTTGTTTTACAATTAAAAACATGTTGAAAAAAATCAGATTAAAATCAAATAAATGTTATTTTAAAAATTTTATAATCCAAGATTTTTAATTGACGTGTGGCCTCAGAGCGAACTGGAAAGGAGTAAAATCTTTGCTCCGGCCTTTGAAGTGAAAACTGCTCTGCTCTCCACCATATTTCTTCCACCGCTCACTCCACGCTTGCTCTGCTCACATGCCCTGCTGTAGAGAGACTAGTGCACGCTCAAATGTGGCTGCAACAAGTTAGGCCTATACAGTGAAAAATCTGTACACAGACTAATAAAATACTATTTTAAAAATATATATATATGTAAACAAACCTTGTCTTCACTTGACAAGAAAGATGATATCGATGTCATGGAAGCCATTTTATACCATAACGGCCTCCGTATTGCTGGGAGAAGCGGTGGGTGGAGCAGCTGTTAATGTCGCCTCAGTCTGACCATTAGATGTTGCTGAAAGTAACACACTCTAGCTTTAAATGTATCTGATCTAATTTATCCCTTTTAACAGTCTCATCAAAAGCATCCATTAGTGATTAGTTAATTAGTTAGTGAAAGGACTTCAAAAAGCTTAATTAAAAAGGCGCCAATATGAAATACTTCTCTGCTTTCCTAACATTTGCTCCGAACATATTTATCTCAGTTTCTTTATAATTTATATGTATCTCCCAGCTAAGAGTCTAGAAGATACTCTTCTTATTAGAAAAGTATCTTTTAGAATTTAATCTTTACCATAATCAGCAGAGTAACACTTAGTCTGTGTTTTTATTTATTGAACAACTCAGTTGTGATGTTCTTGGTAGTTGTGTCGGTTTTGTTACCCTCACCATGAACCCCAACCCTTAGATTTACTCTGTTAAATGATGATTATAAGGTGTCAATTCTGTCCTAAAGAAAGGATGATTTTCCTCCTGAGTCATAGGTTAATGTCACCCTGTGAGCCTGTATTATGGATCTCTCTTGTCTTACAGAAACAGTACAAGCCTACAGTCATACACCCCACCCCACCACCACTTGTACATTGATTAGAACTGCTTGTATTTTTCATTTGAGAAACCTGAAACGCACAAGGTATTGATTTGACATTACAGAGCCAGCGACAATGCCCTCAGCCCCTCTTTTGTCGAAAATATTCAAAGCTGAAGCATTCAAACTGCTGGGTCAGACATAAAACCTCTGAAATTGTTCTCAGCAATGATATTCTGACTCTTCCCCTCTTAGCTAATCAACACAATAAAACTTTTAGCGCATTAAAATATGAAAAATCCTTTGGACATTTTTATATTGCATTGTTTTTTAATGTTTTGTTTTTTATTGTTTTAATTAGTTAAATTTTCATATAAAAATGTATACTTTCATACACTAGTCAATGCATTTGTTACTTCAGGAGGTCCACAAACTGTAGTTAAAAGCCTTCAGTTGATCCAAAATGCTGCAGCCAGAGTTCTGATAAAATATTTATATAATATTTATTTAGATATTAAAAAGAGAGATCATATCTCTTCTATCCTGGCTTCTCTTCATTGGCTTCCTGTTAAATCCAGAATAGAATTTAAAATCCTCCTTCTCACATATAAAGCCTTAAATGGCCAAGCTCCATCTTATATCAGAGATCTGATTTTTCCTTATGTTCCTAACAGAGCACTTTGATCTAAATCTGCAGGTTTACTAGTGGTTCCTAGAATTTCTAAAAGTAGAATGGGAGGCAGATCTTTTAGTTATCAGGCTCCTCTCCTGTGGAACCAACTACCAGTTTTAGTCCGTGAGGCAGACACCCTGTCTACTTTTAAGGCTAGGCTTAAAACTTTCCTTTTTGATAAAGCTTATAGTTAGAGTGGCTCAGGTTGTCCTGAGCTATCTCTATAGTTATGCTGCTATAGGCTTAGACTGCTGGAGAACATAGGGACTCCTTTTTCATAATTCTGCTTCATTCTATCTCTATTCTCCCACTCTGCAGAATCTCTTAGTTCAATCTCTAACGGTCAGCTCTCTCTGATTTTTCTCATAGTAGCTTAATCTGGTCTGTTCATGTTTGGCTGTGAC